TAGTCGGAAGAGGAGGAGGAGGAGAGAAGAAGAAGAAGAAGAAGATGAGGGGGAGGACGATGACGAGAGATGAAGAAGAAGAAGAAGAAGAAGAAGATGAGAGGGGGAGGAGGAGGAGTGAAGAAGTCGTGGAAGAAGAAAAGCAGAAGAGGTATAAGACGAAGAGAAAGAAGAAGAAGAAGAAGAAGAAGAAGAAGAAGAAGAAGAAGAAGAAGAAGATGAGAGGGGGAGGAGGAGGAGGAGAGAAGAGGAAGCAGAAGAATGAGCGGAGGAGGAGGGAAGAAGAAAAAGAAGAAGAAGAAGAAGAAGAAGAAGAACAGACCGGCACTCCACGTTGATGGGAGGCAGCGGTTGTCGGCATTCAGGAGCACCGCGATCGACGACGCTGGCGACGGGCGACGGGCGACTCGACGACGACGGGCGAGTGAAGCTCCCAGGCGATGGCGACGAGGGGCAGCTGCTTCGACGACGGGCGACTCAATGACGGGCGACTCGACGACGAACGCAGGCCGCTGGAGCAGGTATCGAGGCCCCTTTTGGACAGCCAATGCAGGCCACCCCAGCGAGTCGCTTGTTCAAACGGGGCCTCTGTTTTCCCTCCAGAAACGAACGGCCCTCTGGCCATCGATCATGGATGATCGACGGCCAGAGGGCCGTCCCAAATTCAAAAAAAAAAAACAGGCCTCACGGGCCCGACGCGCCGTTTTCTCGGCGTGGTCGGACCCGGTAGGCCCTGGGGAGGCGAAATCTCACTGATTCGGGGTCGGAAACCCCCCGCCAACAAGGTGTGCTGGGGGGGCCCGGCCCCCAACCGGGCCGCCCCCCCGGCCAGGCCGCCCGGGACCTCCCCCAGCAGGCGCCGGTCGGCCGGGCGGCCCGGATCCGTACTCAGGAAATTTCAGGGGCACCGCAGAATGCTATCGTTTCCGTTTAACTAAAAAAAAAGGGACGAACTTCACTAAAATTGCACTTTACTGTAATCAGAGGGGGCAAAACCATATTAGGGTTAATTAGCGAGTAGCGCCGCTTATTAGGTTAGGGCTAAGCTAGTTGATTAGCGAGTAACCCAATAAGCGCTAATGATAATCAACCAAAAGGAATGCTTTTGTCCCGATTCGACGTTAATCGGCTGTTAATCCGGGATTTCAATTGAGCACTAATTAGCGCTGCTGACCTGGATTAGAGGTAATTGCGGATTAGCGTCACTAACCTTGATTAGCGCTAATCCTGGATTAGAGCTGCTAATCTGGATTAATGTTAATTATAGTTGGCGCTGCTAATCTGGGTTGGTGCGACTCTGGATTAGCGTGAAGCGCTAAGTATCCCTGCCTGCAAACTACTGCTATTAGCGCTAGATACTGACAACTTAAAAAAAATAAAAAAATTGCAGAGATTTACCAATCAATCAATCAATCAATCAATCAATCAATCAATCAATCAACCAATCAACCAATCAACCAACCAATCAACCAATCAACCAACCAATCAATCAATCAATCAATCAATCAATCAAGATGGCAACTTGATTGGGCAGATCATCATCTGAGAGGTCTGCTCCGATACCAAACTGTCACATGCCAAATGGCGCAGACCAGAACCAAGAACCAACCTCTCGAAAATGGAGCAATGATAACACAGCGGAAAACTGAAATACCAACAATGAGACCCAATCAATGTTGTGACACAGACTGAACATCACCATCATCATCATCACACGCCGTGAGTGGCCTGGCGCCGAACACAGAGCGAAGGGCACCAGGCACGTAATCATACAGAGATGAGGAGGAGGGAGGAGAGATGAAGGGGGAAGATATGGAGAATGTCGTCAACCCAAAATGTCGTCAATACCGATCCAAAATAGTCCCCCACAATGTCTCTGCCCCAATGTCAAGTCTGAATCCGAATGTCGCCAAATCCAAATGTTGCAAATCTCTCCCTCTCTCTCTCATAGTCGAAGAAGAATCAGACCAGAGTGGTGGAGGGGGAGGAGCAAGGCGATGGACTAGAGGAAGAGGAAGAAGAAGAGACGAGCTCTCTCTCTCTGTACAGTACCTGTGAAAGGTGTTGCCTCTGTCTCTTATACACATCTAGATGTGTATAACAGACATCTACAGGGCAGTCCAGCTATAAATAGAGCTGCGACTGCCTGGAGGCCGACCATCGGGCCAGGGCCTCTACCAAACGGGTGCCAAACTCAAAACCTGTGGCGCCAACGGTCTCGGCGCCGAACTGCTGCAGACCCGAATCAGGGTCTGCGCGAAAACTGGGCCTAACTGGGCCTGAATGGCGCTAAACTGGTCGAGGGTCTGGCGCTAACCGAAACGACGCCCAGGGCCTACTGCTACTCGGCCTAAACGGACCTACACCCTGCTACCCCCTACTCCTACCAGGTCACCTGCTTTAGACGGTGTTGTACGTTCTGGCAATTGATTGCACTTTCTGGCGCCCTTCGCGTGGATTGAACGTTCTGGCGCCCTTCGCGTCGATTGAACGTTCTGGCGCCCTTCGCGTCGATTGAACGTTCTGGCGCCCTTCGCGTCGATTGAACGTTCTGGCGCCCTTCGCGTCGATTGAACGTTCTGGCGCCCTTCGCGTCGATTGAACGTTCTGGCGCCCTTCGCGTCGATTGAACGTTCTGGCGCCCTTCGCGTCGATTGAACGTTCTGGCGCCCTTCGCGTCGATTGAACATTCTGGCGCCCTTTGCGTCGATTGAACGTTCTGGCGCCCTTTTTTTGTACGTGAAGGGTGCCAGAAGGTTTTTTTCCACAATTTATTCAAAATTCTGTAACCTAAATAAAGAAAAAAAAAAAGATTGAAAACAGATTTTAAGTATAAAACATCTAAAGAACAAGGAAATCCTAACTTTAGTGGGAGAATTTTTGTACAATTATACTTCCAAAAGTCCCTGCAGCCCGAACGACATGGAGACCACACCTTGAGTGGGGACCACACTTTCAGTGGGGAACACACCTTGGGTGGGGACGTCACCCTGCGTGAGGACTGCTCCCTGAGTTGGGACTGACTCTATCTTGCTCTGCAGGCGACTCATGGATCTCCAATGCTGTACAGCATGAAACACGTGGCCTCACCAAATGGAAAAGCACTTGGTCAAACAGACCAACAGGAGGCTCGCACCTCTGAGGCCGGCTCGTCAGATCGGAATGAATGAGGATAACAAACTCGATTACTGGCTGACACGACACGACTCTCTAAGTCACCGAGTAATTGCTTGGACTCAGCGGATTGGTTCTGATGGTGTATATCACATCAGAGCTGTACAGGCGATTGCTAACGTGCCTTCGGCCTCAGCAAGGGCCTAGTTGCACTACTCGCCAGCCGCCACAATTCGTGGCGGATGGGTGGAAACTTGAAAGTGAAAAAAAATGAGAATTGAGTCGAACTGGAGGGCTGGTTGCACTTACTCGCTGCTATATTTCTTCTACAGAAAAGTAAAACCACCCTCCACAAAACCGCCGTTGACAGGTGGGGAAACCCAAAACACTCGCCACAACTTGTGTCGACGGTGTGCCGAGCCGTCTGACACAGTTTTCATTCGCCAAGATTGGCGAGTAAGTGCAACCAAGCACCTACTCGCCAAACTTGGCGTATGGTGAGCAGTGCAACCAGGCCGTCAGCAAGGCACGAAGAAGTGCAAATCGACACTACACGAGCATTCACCGCTGACAGACAACCAGGCATGAAGAGCCGGTGAATATGCAATCACGGGATCTGTCAGCCTCGCTCGATAATGATAATGAGAAGGTCGACAGAGCCGCCGTAGCAGGCAAGGAGGGAAACCAACCCAGCCAGGAACTGAAGGGAGCGGTGCAGCACCGCCGCGATCGGCATGGCTGTTTTTTTTTTTTTTTTTTTTTTTTTTTTTTTTTTTTTTTTTTTTTTTTTCTCCTCCGTGTTGTTGTGTTTCGCCCTGATGGTGTAGTGTTGTGTCGTTGCCCCATCTGGCTGCTTTCGTTTTCTTTGGGTTTGCGCCAGTGTCGAACCATCTGGCCATTTTTTTTCTTTTGGGAGTGAGCCTTTTTCTTTTGCCGCGCACCGCTTCAAGAACTGGGCACGTGCCTATATTGTCTTGACCCTTCTTACCTCGTTGCATCTGGCTGTTTCTTTCTTTCTTCTTTTTTTTCTTTTTTTTTTCTGTTGCATGACGCGCGCAAAGTGCAAAAGACGTTGCCCCTCTTTTGTTCTGGTTGTGTGCCGTTGTGAACAAAAATGTCAAAAAGTCGTTTAGCACACCGCACACCCACACCTGCACACACACACACACACACACACACACACACACACACACACACACACACACACACACACACACACACACTCCAACCCTTCCCCACCCCCCACCTGCATCCCATTGCACCACACACCATACTAAACCTTACTCAGCCTACTGTACCATACATGTACACACACACACACACACATATACACAGTTTTAAGTTGCTGAACCTGGGGTTTGAAGTGTGAACCCAGGTATAAATCCTGAGGTACCAACAGACAAATGTGGTAACTGATGAGGTATACTGGGTTCTTTCCGCCCCCATAATCGTTCATCGTGGGATCAGCAGCTTGTTTCTTTGTCTGGCTCCCCCAAAATTATCTGTGCCTACTCCACACTGAGTCCACAGGTTGTTGTTCCCGTGCCCCAGACTGTGATATCCACAGTGTGTTTTTGTGTGTTTTATTTATTATTCATGTAATTTTCATCAAGTTAATTGCAGATTTGTCGTATCTAGAGTCTTTCTGCTGTGCTCTTTGTTTTTCTCTCTTTTTCAGTTTCTGTCCCCTCCAGACAATCCAAGTTATCCATCTTCCCAACTGGGCCGTCATGAGGCCGTGGGCCTCACTACACGGCACACGGAACGAAGAAAAAAACGAGTGCATCTTCCTATAAAACCTGGAAATGACTAATGCCACCTTCTGTGGGCAGATGCATTCTTTTTTTTTTGTCTTCTTTGTTTCGAGTGCGATGGAATGGGGCACAAGCAATAAAGGACGAGGAAGAGGGCGAGGAGGAGAGAAGGTGAAAGAAAGAAGAGATCAAACACCCATGTGTTTGTTACTCATTTGAGGAGAACAGCATGCACTCGATGAAAAAGCGGAAAAAGCACCCAGATATACAGCAAATTGAAAAGAACAATACTTGGTCAATCTTGATGACCGTCAGCTTGTCCCATAGATGCTCTGTCCCGGCCCTCATGTTGATGAGGATCTTGGCCACCCTCTCATAGCGGGCCTGCAAGCGATCCAGATTCGTATTCGCTTCCACAAGCTTTGCCTCGTATTCGTCCACAATACGTCGGCTGCCAAGTAGACCTGCACCAGAGTACTTCACCTCCTCGACCAAGGCCTGATCCCAACATATATCCAGAGAATAGATAGAAAAAAAAAGAAACACATCAATCTATAACATGCTCAATCTGAATCACACGATAATATGTACAATAAACTTGAATAAATCAAATATCCATATTGATAATTATAATAATCTAGTTATGTTATAAAACTATATAACATTATAAATAGTAAATACAATATCAATATAAGAGGCGGTCATAACACAGGAAACCAATAGGGCCGACAAAGCAAATGGAGTTAGCGAGGAAATTCAACTAATAGATTTCAAAAATGACCGCACTAAGTAGGGAAGAGGAACACACACACACACACACACACACACACACACACACACACACACACACACGCACACACACACACACAAAGGCAAATACAATATTTATTATCTAAATTTATTTTATTATTTTGAACTACTTTAGTATTTTAATAAATTGTGGCCATGAAAGTACAGAACGTTACGATGTTTATAAATTTGCAAATACAGTCATAATGATTGCATGTGTCAAATGTCACAAAGGAGGGGAGGACGGTGGGCGCGACGATAGGGGAGGAAGGGATCGAAGTAGGCATGCAAGGGAAGGGGGGTGGGTGAGGGGGGTGGAGATGGTAATCAAAGGGCCAAAAAAAGGGGGCCCATAGATTGATTACGATCATCACCGAGCATTCTTAGCTCTACTGGGAAGAGATGTTGCAAGCTATAGGACATGCTTGGTCACTACAACTTCTACAAGGGATAGAGGAAACGGAAATTCATATATAGGGCCTCGCTCAACAACTCACCAAATGTGCAAAATGAATGAATCTTCAACTGGAACATGGAAAGATACAGCGCCATATCATTTGTCTTTTGTGCATGTCATTACCAGTGGAGCGAGGCCCGCAGTATGAGCGGCGAACATTATGACAGCGATAATAGGACCCCTCTTCAGGGACAAGGTCCCACTTGCAAAGAGGATTGGATTGTACGCCTGAATCTGGATGTGTTTGTGGAAAGGTGCAGAAACTTGAGATTGAACTGCTTTTCTGCATCTCTGCTTAAAACCAAGTCCAGATTCAGGAATTTACTTCGATGAGTCCAATCCTCTTTTCTAGTGGGACCTCAGCCCAGGAATATCCTCCACAGAGGAGCAGGAGGGGATTGCTTCTCTCCTTGAGGACTTTCCAACAACTGTGAAAGTTTAAAATTCTTGAGGAAGGTCCAAAAAAGAACAACTGTTGAAATACAGACCTAAGTTGGCATCCCGACGACCACATAAACAGAAATAAAATAAAATTAAATAATTGAATAAAATAATTAAGAATTCGCTGGGGTCGGTCAGTTCAATGATGATATCTCAAGGCCGCAGCCCTCTGACAAAAAAAAAAAAAAAAAAAAAAAAAGGGGATGGAGAATCTTCTCTCTGTCGGAGGGTGATGAGCTTGCCTTGGCTTGTGCATGCTGCTCATTTAGCTTATCTATCTTCAGTTGCGCCTCCTTGGTGACCTGCTGCAGGTGACTGGTCGTCTCCTCTTGCGTGAGGAATTTCTGGATTATTTCGTTCGGATCGGTCACGCCTGTTGCCTCTTTGATCTTTCGGAACGCCTCTTCGTAAATGCTGATTCGTCGCAATTCTTCCTCCGTAGGGTCATGGCTCAGCTTGCGATAGTCTCTGTCATGAGTGCGCCGTCCCATGGCCTGGAAAAACACACACGTAAGACAAAGGTTAAAAGAGTTGGAAAAACTGAAAAAATGCCATATCAGAGAGGAGCAAATTGGAAAACAAACAGAAAGGAAGCTATGGTAGAACAGGCACACACGTTGGCGCCATCGGCAAACAAGGTTTTGGCACCGTTTCAGAATTATCGGGGCAAGCTAGGGGAGCTGAAGGTGTAGGAATGGCAAAAGAAAAAAGGAAAGAAACAATGACCATGGGAATGATGAAGATGAAGATGAAGATCGCGATGAAGAAAAAGAAAAAGAAGAGCAAGAAGATCCTTCTTCTTCTTTTCCCTCTTCTTCTGCTTCTCCTTCTCCTCCTCCTCCACCCTCTCCTCCTCCATCTCCTCCTCCTGTAACTTCTTTGTCTGATCCTCAAAAAGGTGAATAGCAAGAAGAGCCATCACCTCTCTCTCTCTCTCTCTCTCTCTCTCTCTCTCTCTCTCTCTCTCTCTCTCTCTCTCTCTCTC